ATATATATATATATATATATATATATATATATATATATATATATATATATATATATATATCTCACTACAACCATGGGCTTGGTTGCTTTCAAAACTATTTTTAAGTATGGAATTACTTATGTAACAGTATAATTTGATTTTCAAGGATACTCAAAGATTCTATACAAACATGGTTTTTTTAAGTATGTATTTATTTATACAAATATATATTTTGGCATTTAAAGACTCATTGCAAACACTATTTCAACTATTGTTATTCATACAAAGATAATACTTTTTGGACTTTTTTTAAAGTATTATTGCGGTTAACAGAAAACCTGTAACACTCACCAACCCTGTGTTAACCCTCAAAGCTACATGTATTCTCAGGAAACTACTAAACAAACATTCAAGACGGATTGGATTACAGGTGACCTAGTTTACTTGTTGTTGTATTATATGCCTATTTGTTAAGGAAATTCATATATTATTATTATTTATAAAAACCTTATTGTCAAATATCAAGATGGAACATAAATACTGTTTTTTTTATTGTTGTATTTGTGTTATATATTCAGTTTACTTGTGATCCATTAACTTAGTCGCACAGACCGGTGTGTTCTGCCGCCTCGGCCGGGGGTGTGACAAAGAATGACTCATAATTTTCGTCATCCCTAGTCCAAGCCATCTGGTCTTGGAAGTGAGTTTCCGTAACCTATTGCTCGTCCCCTGAAGGACTTCAAAATTTAACGTTTATGGGAGACATTCTGAATCATACTTATTTCGATACCCCCGACTCACCATTATCGTCCCTTCATGAGACCTCGTCTATATATCAATATTTGATTCCTGAATTCAGACCAATCAATGTTACATGCCCTGATTGCAAGCAATTTTCGCCTTTGATATCCTTGGACCTGAATCAGTCATCAGAAATTCCACATGTCACAGGAGGCACTAAAGTCTACATTCCGAAATTTAGTCCTCTAAACAGTTATGTCATTGAGGAAATTATTCCTGAGGCAAATGGACATTATTCAGACAAACTTAATGTAATGATCAAGTTTCAGATACTCTTTAACATTGGAATTGATTTTACAATAAGTTGCATTTTTGATCCCTGAGTACGTTGGGCATACCATGGGGTACGCTGGCGTATTCCCTTAAGTGAGTCGCGAGTGTTCAAGGCATACCTTGGGTGTAACCATGCATACGCCAGGTGTACGTAAGCAAACTTCAAACCCTAAATTTTAGGGTTGGGGTCCTATTTAAATGCCATTATAGACCTTGAGGTTGCCCCTTCATCAGCCTCCTTCCCTCTAAAGACTCCCCATGAAACCCTAGCCTTCCTTGTGTGTTCTTGAGCGTTGGAAGTGAACTTTTAGTGATTTCTATTCATTGTGATTAAGTAGGAGCGTGGTGATCAAGCATTTGTTAGAGTTGTTCTTGTGAGTATAAGCTAGTCCAGAAGCTTATGATGTTAGATCTTAGTGTTTCTGAGGTCCCTTGTGCATAAAAATGGTAACTTCATGGGTTTAACTCAACATGCCAAGGTTGATGTTCATTTCATGAGGTTAAAGTGTTAAAGTTGTGTTTTGGGGCTTATTAAGCCATGTATAAGCTTAAAGCTTCCAACTTTATGGATTAAGACCTGGTTTGAGAGTAGATTTGAAGTTTTGACAAAAAGGTCTTAAGGGATTAAGCCATCCAAAGAAGGATTGGCTCATAGATTAGTACCTCGGGCATACTTCCATGTACGCTACGCATACTACGTTCGAAACCCGTAAGTTGGTCAAGGGTGAGGATGCGGGGCATACGAGCAGGGTACACTCAGCGTACTCCCTACAATGGGCTTAGAGGGTTTTGGGCCATATTGGGCTTCGGTTGCTTTTGGGTTGGGTCTCACTTTTGGGCCGATTATGGGAAAGGGTATAATGACCTTTTTACCCTAAGGATTCAGGTTTAATGAATAAGATTCCCGGTTATGGTTTATGACCTAATTATTAATTAGGATATTATTTGATTGATTAGTGTGCGGATTCTCCAGTTCAACAGCCTGAGCATCTATTTGTTTATCAGCGGATCAAGGTGAGTTTGCTCACTATACAATAGGATACTAGGGTAGTATGTGTTTGTTGTCTATGTGACTTTTGTTGTAGGCATGTATGCATGTTCGCTATATGTATGTGGGGTGAAATAGACCCGAGGGAAAAATAGACACGGTACAACCTTGAGCTGTCTTGAGTAGAATTTGACTCGGGGGTGAAATGGACTCGGTATAACCTTGAGCTATGATGTGAGTTGAAATAGACTCGGGGGTGTAATTGACCCGGGGGTGAAATAAACCAGGTTCAACCTTGAGCTGACATTTATGTATGGTATGTGGTATTCTGTATAATTCACTAAGCTTTATGCTTATGGTTTTCAGTTTATGTTTCAGGTACATTCAGGTCAAAGGGGAAGAGCTCGGGATGATCGCATTGCACACACAATGATTTTCCACTTATTATGATTTTGATGCACTTTCAGATGATTATTTACATACTCTGATTTCCCTTATGATTTTTATAAACTTGTTTAGTTAATGGTATTATTGAAACAAAAATGAAATTTTTGGCCATGCATTTTTAGGACGTTACAAGTTGGTATCAGAGCTTTGGTTTGAGGGATTCAAGCATAATCTCAAGTGTGTCTGAACTCAAACAGTGGGTTTGGTAGATCTTTTATAAAAAGAAATTTTTTATTAATGGAATTTCTAATAAAATAAAGGGGTGTGGTGCATGAAATCGACCCTGCTCAAGTAAGTTTTCCAAAAATACCCATACATGTTCTATGTTATATGCTATGAATTGAGAATTTTTGAATCGCATGCTAGATTAGGGCTAAGGATCCGCTCAGGATTGCATGATAGAATGCTAGGAGAAATGCCTTTATATGCCTACTGTATGAGCTTGTAGACTTACATGCTAGTATTGGATCAGTCGCTTGATAGGATGGACTATTTAGGTTATGCATTGATTCGATTACCAAATGCTCGAATGTTGCTTGCTTTTTTCTTTTAGGAGTTCTCATTAATATCAGGTAACTGGTAAGCGAATGCGTTAAGTTACATATTATCTGGATTAGATAATTTTAGAAGGATAAGTTTAATCATATTAGACAACTCTTGTTTGAGTCCAACCGTTGCTGTGTGAGACCTATCAATCAAAGAATTATCTGTTGTCAGTAATATGTAACTGCATTTGTGAGCTAGTTAGATGGTGTTACAAGGAGTTCCTTCTACAGCTGATGGCAGAGAGTGGTGGGATGGTAGTCGTAGGAGAACCTATGAGATGATTTGGTGCAGTGAGCCTTACGTTCCTAGAGATTGTCTGGATTGATAGGGAAGTAACTTGGAGAATTCGGAGTGATATTTGAGGAAAGTATGGATATATGTGGAAGGTAATACTGGACCCGTACTGTAACGCCCGGGTTTCCGGGCTAAGCATTTTTAGACGATGTAATAGTCTAGGTCAACTATTGTAACTCTTTTGATGTAATAAAGATGAAATATTTGATTATTCTGTGAATTATGTGAATTTATATGCTTATTGTTTAATTATAAATGTATAATTAATAAAGAATAAAAATAAGCGTCAAAAATAAAGTGTGAGATAAACCCGATATCTTTACATAAAGTTGTAGTAGTCGAAACAAGAATTTCGGAGATATAAAGAACGCCGAAATCCGA